GAATGTTTTGATAAGGGGTCGTCCATAAATGACGTCACACGCCTAGGGGGGGGGGAGGGGGTTCAGACTTTTGTGACGATGTGTGACGAGGGGGAGGGGGGGGGGTAGAGACAGTGTGACATCACGTTGTCTTAATTCCACGAATTGATTAACATGCTTTTTTTTTAGTTTTTAGAAAAATAAACATACTAAATACTAAATAATTTTTTTACATTGGTTGCGATACTTCTAAATTGTCAAAAGATTGTGAAATATATATTTGTTCTAATTAAATTGCCCTATAATTTGATGTGTGTTGTGTAGTAGACTGCCGTATATGCAAATTTGTCAATACTGCTATATGAATAAATGTCGGAAGCGTATCAACTAGTGAGGGTGAGGCATGGGTATCAGTGTAATGCTTGCTATTCTTTGAAGTTTACAGAGTAGGGCAGTCATAATAAAACTTTAAACCCCGTTTTCCGAATATTTTATTTAAAAACTTATGTTCACACTTAGGGCTGCCACTCTTGCCCTTGATGACACGCCTTGTCTCCCTTACATCATGGTGTTCATGCCGATAGCTCATGCTTGTTGAACGATCTAGTGGAAAAATTACTAGTACGATCAGTTCCAAGGTCGAGATCACGTGATTTTTGTAGGTGCGGCCAAAAAAAGCGGATGTGTGTAGGGTCAGCTTGTGATGCGTGTTTATTAGATCAACTTAAATAGGCCTACACGTGTCTTGCTGAATCAACTTTGTCTGTGTGAGGCTTTTCAATTGAAAGGTAGATCTAATAATCTCATATATACTGCTTAAAAATCGACAGTTAATGATGGATAAAAATAAAATGTTCCAATGTATTTTTGATGCCTACGTGCTGGCATATCCTAAAAAGAGTAAAAAGATTTGCCAAGAAGAAGTCGTTGAAAAGTGGACTCAACTAAAAAGCGATTTAGATCTTCACTTGAAAGCGGAGGTCTGGCTGCAAGAGCTAAAAGCAATTGCTGCCGCTAAAAAAGGCTCACTTTTGACGTTTTGGGCCAAACAAACATCTGTATCTACATCTACAAATAAGAAAACACCCTATGATTTGGCAAAAGAAATACCTAATACTAATAAGTCACTGAAGTCAGATGAAAAAGTGAACGATGCTCATGAAGTCAGTGATTTCAGACCCTCTACCAGCAAACCATCAACATCTAAGCAGGCTACAGTCCAGATAAACTTACAATTAGAGATTGAGATTCTGAATTCTGATCTAGTTGGCATGTATGCGCGACAAACTCGCGGAATGTTAACGCAGGAACAGAACATGGAGCTTAAAGAAAAGAAACAGAAAAAGAGTGATTTGGAAAAAAGCTAAAGAGGAAGATATCTGATCAAATAAGATCTCAGAAAGCTCGAAATGAAAAGAAAAGAAAACTGAATGCTTTGTTTGAAGAGAATCCGGGGCTACGCGCCACTTTGAATGTTAGATCTAATTCTGGCAGGCCAAGGATTGAAGAAGATCAATCTTCTTTATTGGAAACTATCATAAACATTGCTATGCATGGATCAGCATCACACGAGAGGAGGCAGAACGAAGTCTACAGGACTATTAAAACATTAGATCAGCTAACTGATCAGTTAAAACAGGATGGGTTTATAATTAGTAGAAGTGGGCTGTACCTTCGACTGTTGCCAAGACGTACTTCTTCTCATGAAGGGCAACGACATGTATCGACAGTCACAGTAAAACTGATAAGAGCGCAAAACGATTGCCATGCAAATCACATTGATCGCTTGTTTACAGCGGCAACACTGCATCACCTAGAAGAGTTAGCTTCCATGCTTGGACCGAATGAGGTATGCTTTATAAGTCAAGATGACAAGGCCCGCGTTCCGCTTGGGTTGACAGCAGCTAAAAAACAGAGTCCATTGCTCATGCACATGGAATACAGGGTGAGCTTGCCTGACCATGACTGGGTTGTGGCTGCTGGACATAAGCTGATCCCTTCAGTTTATGCAGGGATAAAAATTCAGCCCAACGCCTTGGGAAATCGAGAAGCTGTTGGATACTCCGGCCCAACATACATATCAATCAGATCTGGTAAACATTCCTCATCCACAGCGCTTAGTCATGGACTTGATTTTGAAGAATTACTTACTTTACATGAATTTGATGATATCACAAAGAGCGGTGTGGATAAAATTGTTAAACCAATATTAGTGTTGACGGTTGATGGTGGCCCAGACGAAAATCCTAGGTATCAAAAGGTGATCAAAGTTGCGGTACACCACTTTCTCAATCAGAACTATGATGGTTTGTTCATTGCTACAAATGCACCAGGAAGAAGTGCATTTAATAGGGTTGAAAGAAAAATGGCGCCACTTAGCAATGAGCTCACAGGATTAGTTTTACCCCATGACCACTACGGCAGTCATTTGGATGAAAGAGGAGTCACAATAGACACAAATTTAGAGAAGAAGAATTGTCAGTTTGCCGGAAACACTTTGGCAGAAATATGGTCACACTTGACAGTGGATACATTTCCTACAGTGGCAGCATACATAGATCCAGAAGAGTCTGAACTCCTTGAAACTTCTCTGCTCTCAAAAGATCAGCGTTGGCATGATATTCATGTGAGAACTAGCCAGTATTTGATTCAGATCGTTAAATGCATGGATGGTAAATGTTGCTCAAAGCCAAGAAGCTCGTATTTCAGCGTAATAACTGATAGATTTCTTCCTCCACCTTTACCAGTCGCCCAAACAAACTGTGGACTAACAATACCTGAGCGTTCAACAGATGGCTCTTCACATAAATTTCCATCTCTTTTTGTTGCTCAAAGTATAAAAGTGGATGAAATCCTTTCCCGCTCTTCAAATTCTTATCGCACAATCCCTAATGATTTGTATTGTCCGTCTGTTCAATCCGTGATCAGCGACAGGGTTTGTAAGAAGTGTCATTCATACTTCTCTTCATTGGTTATGCTGCGCAATCATTCTTTAACTCACAAACAGGAATCATCAATTGTGCCATTACAGCGCATCAGGCCTCTGAGAGTTGCTGCACGTCGCCAACGTGAACTGATGGTTATAATTGCCAATGAAATTAATTGTGAGAGTGTAGATTGGATAGAAGAGGAAGACCTTGATGTAAAGGGAATTCCCATTCCATACAGGAAAAAAATCAATTCCGTCCCTGTGGATTCAATGAAGGAACATTTTAATTCTCCATGGGAGAATGAATAAGCTTAAAATTAAATATCACAACATTTAATTTAGGATTGCCATATTAATACTGTTGTAAGTAGTTTTTTAAAATACTTCTGTTAATGATCTTGCTAAGATTTAGAAATATGAATGTATATAGATATCGCCGGTTAAGTATAACTTGTTACTGATATTATTATTTAATCGTTATTAATAAAATTTCTATAAAACTTGCTTAGATTTAAGTCAGTGTGAAAGTATTTCTTGTCCTATTTCAACATCCTCTTCGCTAACAGCAAAACACGCAATTTAATAATCTAGTGGAGAGTCTTTACTATTAAAAATCTATTACATTTATTTTGCTTGTGAGAGATGAAGTCCATTTTATAGGCTATAATGAACTATACCAGGAAAAGTAAAGGTCTGGGTATACTGCTGACATTTAAATAATTTGCATATTATACTCAATATATGGTTATTCTCACGTGTGTCGTCATGTCTGCAAGAAATACCTACATTTACATTAAGTAAACTGTATTACTGTTTACCTGCTGGTGCCACGAATGGGTCCTGCACGCTCATTTTTAATGCTGTGTCAACGAGCGGTAATTTTAAAGGGATGAAAACACAGCAAATTTAAAACATAGGATAAATTGTAAATTAGGGGGGGGGGGGTGGGGTGGAGTGTGACGTCATTTTAGGGGGGGGGTCTGAATTTTTGTGACGATGTGTGACGTAGGGGGGAGGGGGTAAAAAAATGGCTTAAAAAGCGTGACGTCATTTATGGACGACCCCTAAGAATCCGGGGCTACGCGCCACTTTGAATGTTGGATCTAATTCTGGCAGGCCAAGGATTGAAGAAGATCAATCTTCTTTATTGGAAACTAAATTTGCTATGCATGGATCAGCATCACACGAGAAGAGGCAGAACGATGTCTACAGGACTATTAAAACATTAGCTCAGCTAACTGATCAGTTAAAACAGGATGGGTTTATAATTAGTAGAAGTGGGCTGTACCTTCGACTTTTGCCAAGGCGTACTTCTTCTCATGAAGGGCAACGACATGTATCGACAGTCACAGTAAAACTGATAAGAGCGCAAAACGATTGCCATGCAAATCACATTGATCGCTTGTTTACAGCGGCAACACTGCATCACCTAGAAGAGTTAGCTTCCATGCTTGGAACGAATGAGGTATGCTTTATAAGTCAAGATGACAAGGCCCGCGTTCCGCTTGGGTTGACAGCAGCTAAAAAACCATTGCTCATGCACATGGAATACAGGGTGAGCTTGCCTGACCATGACTGGGTTGTGGCTGCTGGACATAAGCTGATCCCTTCAGTTTATGCAGGGATAAAAATTCAGCCCAACGCCTTTGGACATCGAGAAGCTGTTGGATACTCCGCCCCAACATACATATCAATAAGATCTGTTAAACATTCCTCATCCACAGCGCTTAGTCATGGTCTTGATTTTGAAAAATTACTTACTTTACATGAATTTGATGATATCACAAAGAGCGGTGTTTATCAAATTGTTAAACCAATATTAGTGTGGACGGTTGATGGTGGCCCAGACGAAAACCCTAGGTATCAAAATGTGATCAAAGTTGCGGTACACCACTTTCTCAATCAGAACTATGAAGGTTGTTCATTGCTACCAATGCACCAGGAAAAAGTGCATTTAATAGAGTTGAAAGAAAAATCCTTATCGCACAATCCCTTATGATTTGTATTGTCCGTCTATTTAATCCGTGATCAGCGACAGGGTTTGTAAAAAATGTCACTTATATTTCTCTTCTCTGCGCAATCATTCTTTAACTCACAAACAGGAATCATCAATTGTGCCATTACAGGCATCAGGCCTCTGAGAGTTGCTGCAAGTCGCCAACGTGAACTGATGGTTATAATTGCCAATGAAGTTAATGGTGAGAGTGTAGATTGGATAGAAGAGGAAGACCTTGATGCAGTGGCGGAACTAGAAAAAAAAGGCCCCCCCCCCCGCAGAATTTTTTTTTGGGCCCCTATATATATATATATATATATATATATATATATATATATATATATATATATATATATATGTATATATATATATATATACATATATATATATATATATATATATATATGTATATGTATATATGTATATATATATATATATATATATATGTATATATATATATATATATATATATATATATATATATATGTATATATATATATATATAGAGAGAGAGAGAGAGAGAAAGATAGATAGATATAGATATAGATATATATGAAAAACAAGGGTCGCTCTAATTTTTTTTTTATTTTCATCTGGTACACGAATAAATCAGAGGTTTTCCAACACACGAGCTGGCCCCTTTCAATTTCCCAAGTGAGAAGCACGGACTCTCTAAATCTAGTCAAACACACCAAACTGACGCCGATTTTTGAGGCTTTCATCAAAACGTTATCAACCGTGTGCCCTGTTTTCCAGAATTTGAATTAAATGTTAACAATGTGGGCAGTTCATTTCTTGGATCTTAGGGCGCGGGTTTGTCCACACTACCAACTTACACGCCAAGGCATGCTGTAAGTCCCTCGGCGACGGCCCAGGTGTCAGGGGGAGTCACCGGGCTCTTGGAGCTACCGGTTACATTACTGCACGGGTGATGGGTGCAACACATTGTTTCTTCCGGCACAGCTCCCCCCTCCCCTCCCCCGAAAACAGTCTATCCTGGAAGAAGCATTGGTGCGACACCTAATTAGGTTTAGTCATCGAGTGTTGTAGCGAGACTTATTCTTAGAGTTGTGGGAACTTTTAAACGACTGTCTGTGGGGGCCAACTTGCTCATATGTGATGCGCTCTGGATGACACTGCCGCCGGATGTATTCAAGTAGTAACCACATCCGCTTATGCAGGATCACGGGGCGCTAAATCACATATTTCCGTTAGGAGTCCCTACTCCAATATGTACAAATGTTAGGCCAAAGACAGAAACCGTTGCGGGGCTGTACTCAACAGCTTCCCAAGTTTTCATGGCGATTGGGTGAATGATGCAGTAATGCATAATAGACAGAAAAATGTTTTTCACATGTACAACTGTATGTGGCCAGGTCACGTGTTGGATAACCTTCTAATTTAGGGGAGGGGGGGACTAACAAAAAGCCAGACCCTCACACACCCCCACCTCAATGACGTCATTTATAAATAGTAATTGACTATTAATAATGTTCAATTAATTCTAAACGTTCTAATTAATTTCTAAATTATATAAAAAATAATCTTACCTGCCCTGTTTTGTGAATTAGATGTGCCTAATACTATGAAAGTAAATTAATATCTGTTGACTAGATCTAGTGCTGTCTAGTGTCTGACAAAACGTGCTGAAGTGGTGAATCGTACGGTTAGGAAGTAGTTCATAAACGATATATTTATCTCACCGATACTTGTGAGGTTGAGAAAGAGGGATGGGATAGGGGTCGGCTCGGGAAAAAAACTTGAAGGAGACAACAAAACGCCTTGATCTATGTACGTCAGCATCGCCTATTGGAAAACTTACTCAGGGGAGATAATTCCAAGTATAGGCCTTAAAAGTTTACTGTGATATTTCTTGTAAAAGCAAAAACAAGTAAACGTATATTATAAAACTGAAGTTTCTAGTATTATATTATTTTTTTATTATTTGTAGGATACAAGATAGTACAGGATACAAATTCAACCACTATCACAAACACATATTAACATTGAAAAATGTACAATGGATTTCGGGTCCCTTACCAATGCCGCAAAGAAGAAAGCCCACTTCATATGTAGCGGCTTTTCGTGGTATGGACTTTGTTCATTTTTAAAAAGAATTTTGCCGGCGACAGCGTGTGTTTGATTGTAGGGAAATGGAACTCGGTCTTGACGATGGTTTAAAAATACAACTATAAATAACTGTTTTAAATATGTAAAAAAATGTGTCAACAGTTTTTGAACCCCCTTTTTGGTCCCCATCCCCTGCCCCATCCGCCACAGTGGTGACAGGACAAATTATCTCAGGACAAATGATCTCAGGACAAATGATCTCAAGGACAAATGATCTCACGGACAAAAGATACCAGGACAAAATATATCAGGACAAATGATACCATGGACAATTGATCTCAGACAAAATATCTCAGACAAAATATCTCACAGCAAAAGTTTAATAGTGTATTGGATGATTTTAGTTGATCTGAACATTTTTTTTATTGACTGTCCAATGGTTTTGTTTACTATGTTTAATATTGTTTATGGGCCTATATAATAATTGTAAGAAATGTTTGCCGTATAAATTTGTCATATTGTACTAAACATTTTAAAATTAAGATTTCTAATACAGTATGCGAAGATTAAAGAATTTTTGTCGATAGATAGCGTAGGGGAGGGGGGATTGACAAACATGAGACAATCCTACCACGTCAGGTGGACGAAACTAGATAAAAGGGGATGAAATAACAAAAAAGACACACCTTAGTATCAAGGTGGCCGCCCGCTTTGATAGCAGAGACATGCCTTTAGGGAAAGACAACCCCCCTCCAAGGACAATACAACTAGCATCTAAGGTCCATGGGTAAGCGTCGGTCACACCTTAGTGATCAGGTGACAAATGCTTATTTAAATAATCAGCGGTAATCGCGGAGCTAAGTTTGTTTTACTGTGCATGAAAACAAAGCAGTATTGGAAGTGCTTACTCAGCTATGGCCTCATAAGTTACCCAGCAGAAAGGTTTTAAGATATTAGTTTCTGGTGAATTTTTTTTATTAAAGCCAGAAGTGGAGCAGCAGTCAAAGAGATTTTGAAATGTGAAGTTAGAACATGTCGAGCTAGAGTTAACACAATACATGATCACATAGTATTGGAGAGGTGTGATCATAATCATGCACCTGGCAGCAAAGAAAAGTAAACGTTATGTTTAAGTTGATGCTGCAATAAAAATAATAGTATTACGTTACGAACCTGAAGACCTATTCATATTTTTCAAAAATATTTAGCGTGTTCTGATCATTAATGTTATGTTATTTGTTTTATACATTATCATTTGTTATACCTTTCAGGCTATAGGAGTAAGTTTGTTTTAATTTTTTTTCAAAATCAAACGCTATTACAAAGATTAAATTTCATAAATCATTTGATGCTTCGTTCAGTTAAACAAATTCATTTTATTCACATTTATTATGCGTTAAAAAGTAAACAAAACTATATTGACATTTAATTAAAAAAAAGTTCAAATCAACTAAAATCAAACAATACATTATTAAAATTTTACTGTGAGATATTTTGTCTGAGATATTTTGTCTGAGATCATTTGTCCATGATATCATTTGTCCTGATATATTTTGTCCTGGTATCTTTTGTCCGTGAGATCATTTGTCCTTGAGATCATTTGTCCTGAGATCATTTGTCCTGAGATAATTTGTCCGTGAGATATTTTGTCTGAGATATTTTGTCTGAGATCATTTGTCCTGAGATCATTTGTCATGGAACCGCCACAGTACACTTTGGAGGATCGGTCAAACAGTTACGTGTCCTCTATTTAGCTATCAAAGGGGGGGGGGGGCAACGAGTCAAAGAAGTCATTCAAATTTGAAGAGTTGCCTATATTTTACACTGTAGTTTGTGTAATGGATTTTATCTTTTGCGGAAGAGCGTGGTATAGTGACTGTAAAATAAAGATAATCGTACGCAGCTACAGTGTTTTTCTTTTACAAACCAAATATTAAGGCAAAAATGCACGAAAATTTAATTCAAAATTTTTAAAAATATTAATTTTGGTCAGCCGTGGGCCCCTAAACGGCCTGCCCCCCCCCCCCCCCCCCCGCGCATTGCGGGGTCTGGCCGGACTGTAGTTCCGCCCCTGTTCATCAGGTAAATGAACAACTACTGACTAGTGTCTTTAACAAAATGTGCAGAAGTGGTCAGTTTACAGTTCAGCAGTTCGTTAATCTATGCATTCAGTAGCGTAGCGAGGGGGCGGGGGGGGGGGACATATGTCCCCGGGCGCCGAGCTTAGGGGTCGCCAAAATGGGTTGAACAAATAAATTGAAAGGTTGAGAGGGGTGCAAATTGAAAGTTTGAGGGGGGGGGTGCAAATCAAAATCTCGAGGGGGGGGTGCAAATCTAAAGTTTGAGGGGGGGGGGGGTGCAAAATCAAAATCTCGAGGGGGGGGTGCAAATCGAAAAGTTTGTCCCCGGGCGCCGGGAAGGGTCGCTACGCCTCTGTATGCATTACATCTTAATGTAAGAGTAAGGGTGTGGTGAGGGGTAGAGGTGAGGGGTAGGGGTGAGAGGGGGGAGGGGAGAGAGGGGGGAAGGTTCATTGGAATGGGACAAGAAAGCGCCGATAAACATCTACATCAATAGTGCCGACTTTTTCCGGTCGCCTAGAAGACCAGGATAGTCGCCGCAACATTTCCCCAGCCCGATTTCAAAGCGTGCCGGCAGTCAAATTTCAGATGCTTCGCTGAAGGGAGATAACTTAAACTTTTACAAGTTTATTGATACAGTTGTTAAAGTAAAAATTAACGCAATTATAAATGTATGAGATCGAAATAAATAATTATATTTTTTGTAGAATTCAGGCCAGTAGTCTAAACACACAATCATATATATGTATTTTAATAATGTAAACAATATAACAATGCTTTTTTGCTCTCCTAATCGACGCCACTAAAAAGAACGGTAGGCTACGTCTTTGAAGTTGTCTATATGTCTGGCGGTCTCTCGAGCTATAGTCATAGCTATGTGCATTTTTCTCAAAGACGTTTGCCGACTATCGTGTTTGTTTGTAACTGTAGAAGAAAGATAACTCGACCTCCACCTAATTTTTTTTTTTTTTAATAATTTAGCCAGGATTTTTGGGCCCCCAATCGGTCTGGCCCCCCCCTCCCCCGCATTGCGGGGTCTGGCGGCACTGTAGTTCCGCCCCTGCCTTGATGTAAAGGGAATTCCCATTCCATACGGGAAAAAATCGATCCCGTCCCTTTGTATTCAATGAAGGAACATTTTAATTCTCCATGGGAGAATGAATAAGCTCAAATATCACAACTTTTAATCGAGGATTGCCATGTTAATACTGTTGTAAGTACTTTTTTTTTAAATACTTCGGTTAATGATCTTGCTAAAAATAAGAAATTTATATAAATGGTCGGTTAAGTTATAAGTTTAACCTGTTACTGATATTATTATTTAATCGTTATTAATAAAAATTTCTATAAAATTTGCTTAGATTTAAGTAAGTGTGGGAGTATTTATTGTCCTATTTCAACATCCTCTCCGCTAACCGCAAAACACGCAATTTAATAATCTAGTGGGAAGTCTTTACTATTAAAAATCTATTACATTTATATTGTTTTGTGAGAGATGACATCCGTTAAGTCCATCATATAGGCTACAATGAAATATACCAGGAAAATTAAAGGTCTGTGCATAGTGCTAACATTTAAATAATTTGCATATTATACTCAATATATTGTTATTCTCACGTGTGTCGTCATGTCTGCAAGAAATACCTACATTTACATTAAGTATTTTAAAAAAAATTAATCTTATCAGCTTTAACATCACCTCACTGTATTACTGTTTACCTGCTGGTGCCACGAATGGGTCCTGCACGCTCATTATTAATGCAGTGTGTGAACGAGGGGTAATTTTAAACGGATGAAAACACAGCAAATTAAAACATAGGATAAATTGTAAATTAGGGGAAAACAATCAGTTTCGATTACACGGAATTTAACCAGCTCTAAAATGTTGGTTCCAGAGCATGCAAATTTAAAAATACATTACAAAGTAAGTTGTAATCGCAGATATGAAATATACTATTACGAAGCTATTTCCATTTTGTTTATAGCCAAATTTAAATAATTTGAACTGTAAGTTTATTTCAAATCTAAATATATCTTTAAATCGGAGTAATAAAATAAAAAAAAACTTAAATAAATATAGTTCGACTCACTTTTATTTTGATTAAACAAAGTATACCAATAATTAGAATCAAAAGTCATCTCTAATTGAATATGGTTTTATAAAAATCAAATCCGTTTACTTAGGTTTTATTATTAAATATTGCAGTGTTTTAGAAATAAAATGTATTATTATCAAGTCTTCACTTACTAAGTTTATTTTGAACTTGACACTTGCAGAATTGCATCTTAAAAGAATGAAAGGAGTTAAAGAATAATACTCGTATTTGGAACAGAAAAAGAAAGCAATCGTTGTAAAACGCAATAAGCTATATATAGCAATAACCTAGAATATATACATACAGACATATATGCATATATATATATATATATATATATATATATATATATATATATATATATATATATATATATATATATATACATCTCTCTCTGTATATATATATATATATATATATATATATATATATATATATATATATATATATATATATATATATATATATAACATCGAAATCCGATTTAAATTACAAATTATTACAAATTGTTGAGTTACACTAATTTACAGAAAAAGAAATATGAAATCGAAAATATCATTCCTGAAGCAATAAAAACTCAAAACCTCTCCCCGCCCTGGATCTCCCACTGTCACTTAACCATTATTGACTCAATAGACACCATAGGGAAAAAATCTGACTATGATCAAGAAGAACTAAAGAAAATAACAAATAAGCACATTAAGGATCAGTACCCCAGCAATACCTGGATTAGAGTTTTCACAAATGGCTCAGCTGAAGATGCCACAAAAAATGGCGGGGCTGGCATCCTTATTGAATGGCCAAGCGGAGAAAGCCTGGAAAAGGCAATAGCCACAGGCAGCCTATCCGACAATTTTAGGGCAGAAAAAGAAGCTTTAGAACATGCAGCAAACCTCCTGTCAGAACACTCTGAATCACCGAATAGTCAGATTGTATTTCTTACAGATGCCAAATCAGCCCTGCAATCCCTACAAAATCCAGAGTCCTATATTCAAACACTTATGACAGCACTAGAGAGGCTAAAAAATACCTGCAGCAGAATTGTGCTGCAGTGGATCCCGGGCCACTGCCAGATCCAGGGTAACGAGATCGCAGACCAGCTGGCAAAAATTGGAGGAAAGAAACCACAACCGGAAATTTCGCTACACCCAAAAGAAATAAAAAGAATAATAAAAAACAAACAAACGCAAATGTGGACTGTCACACACCCTCACTACATTAAAGACGACGGCTATTACAATTTAACACGAAAACAACAATACATAATCTTTCGACTTACAACAGGCCACAACAGACTAAATCAACACATGCACAGAAAACTGAAGGTTGGGTGTAGCGAAATGTGTCCTTGTGGCAAGGCCCCGGAAAACACGGAGCACGTACTCCAGGAATGTACTTTGTATAGCCAGGCACGAGGCAGACACTGGCCCCAGCCCACCCTACTCAGGGAAAAATGTTATGGGGCACCTGACAAACTGGAGACCACAGTCCGGTTTGTCCACGAAGTTGGACTTGTTGTCTGAATCCTCCACCATATTCACAATTAAGAACGAAGAAGAAGAAGAAAGACTAATTTACATGTCTTAATATTATTTTTATTTGTGTTACTAATACTCAGCATTCGATTGAAATAAATTATGTACTTACTTTCGATAAAATTGTGTACATTTTTTGTTCTGCAAATGGAGAAGTTAAAATGACGTATAATATAGTTCTCATGAAAAACCACAGACTACTAAATACTTTTGGTACGTTAGTGTGATGGGAAAATCAAAACAGTAGTAGACGTTTTTGAAAATATAAGTAGAGCATTTAGAACGGAAATGAATTCCCGGAAGCGTTCTCGTTTATTGATTCATATTTAATGGTAAGTTGAATGACACATCCATTGGAATTTGCTAATAAAAGTGTAGGTACGTTTGTTATAAAACTTCACGTTTTTCAAGGCAACACAAAGATACAAAAAGTATTTAGATTAAGTTTCTTTATGTGAATATGAAACACATTTTTGAAATTCTTAAATTTTTCGAGAAGCGGGAAACAGAGCAGTGTACAAGTTTTAGAAACTGGCTCTACATATCTTTCAAAAGTTAATATTAACCAACATGTAGGATATAATAAAATAGTATCTAAATGTAAAGACACTCATTAACCGTGTACACACAATATACGCAGTCACAATACATACAGGATTGTTCAACTGTATGTTTCTGAATCAAGAAGATGTAAAACGTCAAGCTTAGTCACATTTTTGCTTTTTCTACTTTTCACACTGCTCCTAATACGAGGAAGCAAAAAAATAATCCCTTTAGTTTTAAATTTACCTTTGAATCTTCTCTTGGGTATTTGCCCTCCCAAACCTTGGTGATGAGGTCTTGACATGCCTGATCTGCTATGAACAACTTGTTCTCAGATCTAGCGGCCACAAACATGCACGAGGTGTTTCCCCACTCTGGTCTTACCATACACAAAATGTCGTGGGTCTTTTCGGGGTCAGACGAGTAACATTGCTGTAGCAGGTCTATGGAGAGTTGCTTGTAGGCCCTATATTTTCCAGATCAATATACGTTAATACGATTCTACTAATTAGGATATTTACTAATTGGTTTCTTATTTGTTGGAATTGTTTTAAAAATATACAAAAAAAATTGAAACATAAAACTAGATAAGCATAACATTTTAGACTTGTAAATCTGGTTTAGACTATAGAAGCTATGTGTTTGCTTAGTCCACTTAATTGAAGCGGTAATCAAGTTATCAGTGTTTTAGAAACCGGTAAAAGATTAAAGTACCATTTTCGTGTCTCGTAAATAACTCACAAATTAAAAGAACTATGAGTATTCTTTAATATGAAATTTATTTACCTAACTAAAACAGTATTCAAGTTATAATGTTCTGACGGAAATAGAGAAAAGTACCGATTCCGTTTATATGTAAAATTTCCCTTACCAAATCTAAATGGTATCGGCGTTTTTAGCTTTTGTGAAACCATAAGTAGAATAAGTACCATTTCTGGTTAACGGGAAATCAATTAAATGTTGATAGAAAACTACACATTGTTTTTATAATAATTCTTATAACAAAATTGTTATCAGTCACAAACACACAGACAGACATACAAGTAAACAAATTGCAAAACTCAGAATTTCCGAAAAAGGGAGTGTAAAATGTTAATATTTGTAAAATATATTACGTAATAAAATATATTACGATTTTCCACACGACTACAATATTTTCTCTATTAAACTCTATATACGAGAAACTGAAAGCTTAACTTGCGTTTTACATGACAATATTCAAAATGTATTCACATACTCAGCACTTTGTTGTATTTTAGCTTGACCTTGATTTACAGCTTCAGATGCACATTTAGTTAGAACGGCTGATGCAAATAAACAAGCAGCAATGGAAGATTCCTGTAACAAAAAATAGAGCATGTCGATCAATTATAAAATTGGGAAAAATCAAAGTTTTCTCTAAACAATGACGTGCGGCCCACGTACACGGGGATCAGACTGGTCCCGTAAGGTTTTCGATTAATATTTGTATTTTACTAGCAGATACTTAATCAAAAAGAGTTTCAGAATTATTCAAAAGCGCCGATGAAATATGCATCTCGTCTTCCTACATTATGGGAACTAACGTCAGCACTCCACGTTTTCACAAGCCGTTGAATAGTTTATTTTCGGCCTATTCGTTATATCTCGTGATCACGAGACCCTAAGTATCGGTTTGGTCCCTTGCTTTTGGCTACAGTGCTAGAATTAGTGCTATGCTGTACCGTGTTATAGTGAAGCATTCACAAAAGATTGATTACTGTCCTCATGGATACATTGTGTTTGAGATATTTTGTTTGAGATCATTTGTCCATGATATCATTTGTCCTGATATATTTTGTCCTGGTATATTTTGTCCGTGAGATCATTTGTCCTTGAGATCATTTGCCCGTGTAATATTTTGTCTAGGATATTTTATCTGAGATCATTTGTCCTGAGATCATTTGTCATGGAACGCTCACAATTATAGTTTTTCATATTTTGTAAATATGACTTTGATTGATATAATTCTATGCATGAAGCGATCAAAAGCTACAAAAGATATTATTTGTGGAAATTGAATAAAGAATAATAGCTCGTTTGTGATGGCATACAAATTGACATTTTAAAAATTTGTACCTACGTTAGAATGCTTGAGAAACAACTTTGAAAGTTCAAAATTATTTGTTAGAACTGCCCAAATGAAAAGGTTATAGAATGGATCTGAAAAAAAATTGTATTATTTTTAAAAATATTTTTAAAATTAATCTATCTATCTATATTATATATATATATATATATATAAAGCAATGTATGTTTGTGTGTCTGTCTGTCTGTCTGTCCGTCTGTCCTGTATGCATTACTACACCTCTCATCACATCGCCGTGAAACTTTGGGAAGTTGTTGAGAATATTCCTGGGGAGGTTTCTGCGAAAAAAAAATTTCAAATTCGTAGGGGTGGCGCCCCGGCAGGGCGCGATTTGTTTTTCTCTATATACGGTATATAAAAACAAAAAGTCGATTTTGGTTTGACATCGTTCATCTGATAGCCATGAGACTTTAAGGAGTTCATAATAACACTCCAAGGAAGGGTTCTGTAAAAAATAATTTTTACATTCGCTAGGGCGGCGCCACGGGAGGGTGCGATTTTCCTCTCTATATATGGTATATAAAAATAATAAAAGTGAATAGCAGTGACACTGTTCATCTGATAGGCATGAAACTTTGGGGGCTTCATTATGAAACTCAAGGGAAGGGTTCTATAAAAATCATTTTTAATTACGCAAGGGCGGCGCCACGGGAGGGTGCGATTTTTCTCTATATACGGTATATAAAAATAAAAGTCGATTTTGGTTTGGCATCGTTCATTCGATAGCCATGAGACTTTGGGGACTTGATTGGAACACTCCGGGAAGAGTTCAGTCAAAAATAATTTTTAATTTTGCAAGGGCGGCGCCACAGGTAGGTGCAATTTTCTCTATATATGGTATATAAAAATAAACGTCGATTGTGGTTTCACGGCGTTCATCCGATCGTCATCAAACTTTGGGGAGTTGATTAGAACACTCCAGGGAAGGTTTCTGTAAAAAAAAAAATACTCCTTTTTTAATTTCGCAAGGGCGGCGCCCGGGGAGGGTCGATTTTTCTCTATATACGGTTTATTAAAATATAAGTCTATTTCGGTTTCACACCGTTCATCCGTGTACCATGAAATTTTGGGGAGATGATTAGATCACTCAATGGTAGGGTTCTGCAAAAAAAAAAAAAATTTTAATATTGCAAGGACAGTGCCCCCGGGGAGAGCGATTTTTTTCTCTATACACGGTATATAAAATATAAAAGTCGGATGCGGTTCATCCGAGTGCCATGAAACTTTAGGGAGTAGATGAGAATACTCCCGAGAATATTTCTGCGAAAAAGAAAACTAAAGTTTCTTATGGACGGCGCCATGTAGGGTACAACTTTCGTCAATACACGGTTTGGCGCCCAAAGTTTTAGAGCGACTATGTTGGCACTTGGCATCCGTTAATCGAGCGTCCTGCATAGAGAGTAAGGGTACTACTATATTCAGCGGTAAAACTACAACAGGCTTCTAAAAATAACTTTGTAACGCGGGGAAATCATGTACAGTTTCGTCACCTTGCGAACGATGAAAAAATAACTTTTTGAATATGAGGAGCCTACTGTAGAGTTTCGTCACTTTGCGAATGATGCAATAAGCATCTATTATTAGACGATTCAGACAGAAATTAAGATCGAGCATCTAATAATAGACCATTAGTAACGCTAGCATATTGCATCAGTCACACTGATGTTTAAAACACGTCAAATAATCTTTTACGTGTTAAAGAAAAAATCCTGTTCATTTGTGTCACTTTAGTGAATGACGAAATCTGCATCATTGTTTACAGAATGCTATTGGCACGCTGGGTTATCCTATGAGCACGATGGCGCCTGTTAGTTTTAAGGAACCAGGGGCCGTACGCTGCGCCTATGCGGTAGTGTAATCCTGGGGTGGTGGGGGGGGGGGGCTCCTGAGAGCGCCCCTCTACGTCCATGACACAAGGGGGGTTGGGGGTCACCGAAGTGTGTTCTACCTCATTATTTCGGTGAGTGATTAATGTACACTCAAGGTTTTCATGCGGTAGTGTAGGAAAACCCGTGTCCCGATAATTATTATCCAAGCACAAGCATTTTTTACATTTAAATAACACAGTTTTAGAAAAGAAGAACAAGCGTTTAAGAACATACGATTTGTAATGCATTGGTGATATCCTTCTGATATATTTCGTCAGACTTTCTTCCATTCCCGCGGCAACGCGCGGGGGTCGGGTACGCTAGTATATGTATAAAGCAATGTTTGTGTGTCTGTCTGTCTTTTATGCATTACTACAACTTTAATTACTTCGCCATGATACTTTGGGAAGTTGTTGAGAATACACCTGGGAAGGTTTCTGCGGGAAAAAAATTCAAATTCGCAGGGGTGGCGCACCGGCAGGGCGCGTTTTATTTTTTCTCTACGGTATATAAAAATAAAAGACGATTGCGGTTTGACACCGTTCATCGCCAACAAACTTTGTGGAGTTGATAAGAACACACCATAGAAGGGTTCTGCAAAAACTATTTTTTATTTTCGCAAGGGCGGCGACCTGAGGGGATGCGATTTTTCTCTATATACGATAATCAAAAAATAATAAACCGGGAGTGATCACCCAGAAACTTTCTCGAATATTCTTATATAAAACAACAGGGGATGGGAACTCGGGATATAGACATGATTTTTAATCCATTTTAAATACTTAAACTTTTTAAAATAGAATAAAATCTCGTGGGAAAAGAATTGCACACCAAGTGAACGCCAAATAAAGATGTGCATAATAGTGCGCAATATTATTAGTACTTTATAAATTTACATGCGTTTTTTGAGCAATTGGAATAAGCGTAAATTAGTACTTCCGGTCAAAACAAATTACTAAAAATTTGATAGTACGTAGAGAATGAAGTAGTTCTCAAGTTATAGGCTTTTGAAAAATTCAAAGTAAAAAAAGTACCACTTCCGGTTTTCGGAAATCGCTCAAAAGATACGGATCTACGACTTTGATAAAATACTTATGTATAAAATTTCATCAACCTAGCTGTAACGGTACTCAAGTTATCGTGTTTACACACACACAGACACACACACAGACACACACACAGACACACACACAGACACACACACAGACACATACACACACACAGACACACAGACATACGGACAAGATTGCAAAATTATGTGTTTCCGTATCAGAGAGGTGTAAAACGTCGAGATTTTTAAAAATCTCGATTTTTTTTGCACGATTACAAGACTTTCTCTACACTACGTATATACGAGAAAGTAAAAAATTAAGTCTGCTGAAATTAAGACACCGTTTATCAGAGTGCTATAAAACTTTAGGGAGTTGATGAGTACTCCCTAGATGGACTCTCACGGGGAGGGGTAATTTTGCACTGGCTACCCCCGGCAGGATGCGATTTGGCGCCCTTGTCTTTTCCGTGAATGCAATATCGCCTACGTTCATTCTAAAATATGTGATAGACAATGGATAGGATGGGGCTTTACAGTCGCTCACTAAATTGAATCAGGCTTGTCCGCCGGCACCATGGTAGTGTGCGATTTGGCTGCGAACAAAAAATTCAGTTTAGGCCCCCAAAGGCTTACATGAGCCGCTGAGGGCACTGTCATAAATTTTTTAAAATAATCACATACATTAAACAAGGTTAGATTATTAACTGGGTTGTTTCCTTTTGTCCATAAAAAAAATCCAAACAGTTTCGTCACTTTGCGAATGATGTAATTAGCATCTAATTTTAGACGATCCAATCAGAAATTAAGATTAATTAATACACCATTAGTAACGCTAACAAATTGCATCAGTCACTCTGATGTTTATAACACGTCAAAGTTTTTTTTTTGTACGTGTTAAAGAAAAAAGACCCTGCATCATTGTTTCAGGATGCTATGTGTCGTCTCTGCGGTAGAGTAATCGAGGGGGCCCTGAGAGCGCCCCTCTACGTCTCTGACACATGGGCGGTCACTGAAGTGTGTTGTACTTCATTATTTCTGTGAGTGATTAACGTACACTCAAGGTTTTCATGCGAAAGTGTTGGTAAACCCGTGTCCCATTATTTGTAATCCAAGCGCAGGCAATATTTACATTTAAATAACTCTGTTTTAGAAAACAAGGTCACGCGTCAAAAAATATAGGATTTGTAACGCATGGATGAAACCCTAGTTATATATTTCGTCAAACTTTCTTCTGTTCCCGCGGCAACGCGCAAGGACGGGGACGCCAGTAATTTTTATTGATTTACATTGTCGGGCGGCAGATGTGGCTCGTCTACTGAGGACAGCAAACTATCTAGGTCAGAACAGGAGAGGAGCCCCTTCGGCGATAGGATTACCAACTCTGGTTTCCTTTCGACAGCTCCTGTGACATAGACGATTCCAAGTTGTACAGGTAATGTCCTGTCCCTTGGGTCTATAAGCTGTGTGGTTAGAGGGGGGGGGGGAGGCTAATATATAAGCCAATTATTCAACTTAGGCCCCAATGTGCAATCATCTAATGTTTTATTAAACTATAGATTTACATTTTTAATGTTTTATATTAAATGGCAAAATTAAAGTAACCATTAACTAAATTCATTATTTATCGCTGTTTTAACCAAATATTTTTATATCTGAACTTAAGTAATGCTGTTTACCTTCAGCTTGCCTAAAATTTCATTTGCGTAGAATAGAAAGACATTAATATATATTGTCTTATCTAAAACGGTAAAATGTACAACTTTGAGTATTGACGACCGACTCGGAAAATATCATCATGTAGCTTACCTTTTGCCCTTATTTTTGTTATTTCCGGTATTTTATAATAATCTTTCAAATATTTCTTTAGGTCATTTATGTATTTGTCTACACCAACCTAAGGAAAAAAGTGTAACGATTTTAATTGTATTTAACTTCTACTTTCAATAAATACTCGATTTCACAAATGTTGGTAGGAAACCTATATGAATATATATATATATATATATATATATATATATATATATATATATATATATATATATATATATTTATATATATATATATATCCCCTCATTTGCCGAGGTTACAGAAACAGGTAAACTCTACTTAAACATAAACCAGCAGGTTCAAAATGATATATTTACTTTGTATTTATTTTATCATTTTTGTCTTTTACAATTGCAAATTAATAATCACAATCATCTATATTGTAATACAGAGACGGGTAGTGAAAAAATGTATGAATGCTAAATAAGCTGTTAACAAATAGCTCAGGAAGAATTAATAATAAAACTATTGGACAATGTTAAAAATGTATAATACTTGAGAATGGTCTTTTATACTGTCATCAGAACTCGTTTTTTTCTCCTAAAAACATAACATAAAACAGTATTACACATAAATGTATGTTTAGAGACTAGCATCATCACATCACCTTAATTATGGTAAAAAAAGTAACAAAATATCACACTAATTATGACCATATTACTAAATGTAAGAATGCAAAATCAACGATAAAGACTTTTATACGGAATTGCTAGTTTAAATTGAATTTTACATTTGGATAAAAAATGATCTCCTTACCCAGACATAAAAATAGCAGTATTTTTCTACTTGTATCAGGTTAAAAACTCCCACCCCACAAGATCTTATTTATTTTAATACATTTTGAAATTTACATCTTTCCCAAGGATATATTACAAAAGTTTTACTCCCCCCCCCCCCCCCCCCTCACACACTCCATTCTAATGTGCATGCAGCCATTGATAGAAGCCCTTTCAGCGAAAGTTACTTGAAATACCGGTTTAAAAAGTTCAGTTAACGTTTCCTCTGTAATCAACTTTTCCAAGTTGATATTGTCGTTGTTTAAAAAATGTTCAACAAACTCCAGTCGATTGTTTTTTATTGCATACAACATTAGTTTGTTGAAACTACGGTCACCCTGTAGAATAAACAGTATTTAAGCTTATATATATATATATATATATATATATATATATATATATATATATATATATATATATATTGTTACGATTCCAAGGGATCTTTATCTGTGTTTGGCCCCATCGAGGAGACAGGTGTTTGAATAGCCGGCCAGGTAATTAAAATGAAATGCGGAGGCATGTTCATGTACTGGCCAGTTTAGACCGTGAGAGTCTGTGTGGGGGTCTTGACGACCACACCGAGGATTGGATTCCACGCTGTGGGCGGGGCAGAATTGGAGTCTTCGGGTCTCGGCTATTAACGTGGCCAACAGCCCGTGATTTTCGGCTGGGAAAACCTTCCAGTTCGGACAGGGCCGAGGGGACCGTCATGGACGGATCTGACTTAGGGTCAGGCTCTAATTAAAATTGTTCCCACGGTGACGCACGGGGGACGAGTACTTTAGGAGGGTAGACGGCAGATTGGGGGAACACTCGGACACAATTGGGACACACACGGACTCGACTTGGATAGCTAGTGTTAGAGGAGACAGACATGGGTCGTCTCTGTGAGCTAGGGGCGAGCCACGACATGTCTGTACGGTGGTATTAAACCTAGGCTAGGTTGGACAGTTAGGGACAAGTAGGGTAGTTGGACTAAGGATTTTAGTTGTTGTAGCTAATTGTGTATTTTTCTTATTGTGTTCAATGTGGTGGCGGGTTAACGTTAGGTGTTGTATTTTGTGGCAATAAATAGAAATCACTGAGATTTGCGTTTATCTATTTTTATTTTCTTCTTCTTGTTTGCGATTCCCTGACTAATTCGAAAGGAATAGAGAAGGGGGTCGTAAGAATATATATATATATATATATATATATATATATACATATCACAGTATTTAAGTATTATGTAAGTATATCCATATGTACAGTTATAGTTAGTATTAAAACTTGTTATATTAATAACATAATTTTAAATAAAATCTGTAATGTTTATTTGCACGTATGCTTATGTAGAATGAAAAGATAAAACCAAATACCGGACTTTGTTTTACACTGTTAGATATGTGGGATTCAACCATTTCGAATCTGTCCCATATCAAGGCTAGCAGTAGTTTGTTTGTCTTGTTTTCTTTGCTGTTATCTAAGTAATTAAGACATAAATAATTGTATACTTTTATTATTGACAATAAATAGAAATATGTTTTTTTACAGTACAAATGTGAACTGTTTAAAACCATTATTATTGTGCATGAATCAATATATAAATATAAATATATATATATATATATATATATATATATATATATATATATATATATATATATATATATATATATATATATATTTATTTATTTATATATGTATGTGTGTGAAGTACAGCCATAACCTTTCAAAATTGATTGAAGAATGGCTGAATCAAGGTCGTCCTCTGAGTTATATGACTTCAACTCGTAGACAGAAAATAGGTCCTTGTTGTTACAACAGCTTTGTATTTTCGCTCGGATATCGGACAGTGTTTTCCAATTTTCATCGTGTTTTTTAAAAATGTTATCCAGCTCTTCGTCATTAAATCTATGGTGAATGTACCGACAAAATTATATGTGTATTGTAGAACATTTAACCTCTAATTTTTATTTGTATTGTTAATTATATAATTCTCGAGCAAATTATTCTTCGATAGTTACAGCATTTTGAATTTAAGGAACAAAAAGTTGCTCTTTATAGAATCTTTAACAAGCACGTTTACATTTAGTTTTAATGACTTAATTCTTAGTAAATATGTCAACATGCCACATGAAATAAGCTTGTATAATATTACCGTCGATCTCCTTCTTTACTGCAAGCATCAACGTCCGCCAGTATATCAGCCATTCTTCCTGATCCCTGATGTAGATTGTAAGTCGTTTGGATACAAAAACGTACAATATTTTCAAAGATATTTTATTTAAACTAAATCTGTAATATAAAACTAGAATTGTAAACCCCAAAGAAATTAAATCTTACCAGACGTTTAAGAAAATTGATTCAAATGTCAAATAAATTATTGCATTAATCAAGCAATTACAATAAGGAATTGTAGGAAATCTGTGTAGGCCTACCTTTATTACAATAGTTGGTGTTTTTTCAGAAATTCCCTTTTCAACTGTGGTGAAAGTGCCCTTTCCGCCATTTAACACAAGCAGACACACAGGGACATTAGAGTACTCTCCTAATTAAAATTGAACCAAAATTATAAACAAAAAATCATCAGTATTTACAAGCCTTCTTATTTCAAATAGTGTTATGTACCTAATACTACTACGTTTAATATCGATAAACCAGACACGTGATTGTATCACCAGGCAGTATAAATAACGTTTGTACCGCCTAACAAAAAAAAACATCTGCTGCTAGTGTCAATCACATTTTGACCTCATCTGCTAATATTTTGCAGCATTTACGAAGATTAACTTTCATTAAATTTTAATACTAAGTGTGATCGAGTACATCTACACATACATACCTTCCCATTCTTTACTTTCCCACATTGAAATAAGTCTCTCAAATTTAGATCTTAGTTGAATTTCTCCACCAAATTCGTTTTCTTTGCCGTCATCAACAAGTATGAAATGTGTATGATTAGGGTCCAGGTAGCATTCATTTTTCCCTAGGTCATCGGAAATGTTGTATTCTGCTGTTTTGCCTTTAGCCTGAACATGTTTTTAACACTTAAATTAGTTTTATTTGAACAGAAAAATACACGTTCTTACTAAAACATATTAAAAAGCAACAATTTCTAAATTCTTACTTGTTCCAATTCGCCCCTGTCTTTGATACATCCCCATGGCGCTATTCCGATTGCAACGAAGTCTTTACCAGACGTGAGACTGAACTGTTCCACAGCCTCCCCTACATGTTTCATCACGCCAGCGTGTGTACCGGCTGTCAGGATCCAGGCGTCTGAATAGAACATGAAAATATTGTGAGATAAAACTGCAAATTATTACCATATATAATAACTACACCATACAATAGTTATTAAATATATTGAACATTCTTTCTTTAAAAAATGTACAAATGCTTGTCATTTCTATAACAGTAGCGTAGGCAAGGGGGGGGGGGGGTGAGACATATGTCCCCTGGCGCCGACCTCAGGGGGCGCCAAAATGAGTTGAAGAAATAAATTGAAAGGTTGAGGGGGTTGCAAATCGAAATCTTGAGGGGGGGGGGGGGGTTGCAAATCGATAAGTTTGTCCCCAGGCTCCGGGAAGAGTCGCTACGCCGCTGTTCTATAATAAACATAATTGATATAATAAGAAATGCTTAGCTCATTTTCTTATTGTACTTAGTTTTTGTAATCTAATTTTAAAGGCAGAATATTGAGTTCTTAATTACATCCTAATAAATGAAAACACTAATCAGCACTCAAGGGACGTCGTGGCCTACCAGTAGAGAGCTAGACTGCTAACCCGAGAGCCCGAGAGTCTCGAGTTCGAATCCGGGTTCA